GGGGGTTATATGGAAACCAACTTGACAATAAACAATTAAAAAAAAAAAAAAAAGAATCACTCCCTTAGGTCTAGGCATCAGTGACGCTCGGCAGAGCACTCTCATGCCAATTGTTCCCCTGAAGTCACAGAGCAGCTCTGGGAAGCAGGAGGGGATCATTGCCTCCTTTTTATAGAGGACACTAAGGCAGAGCAGGGAAGGCTGGAGACCTTCTGAACCCATCCCTCAGCGCCTATCAACAACCCTGGGGCCTGCCTCCCTCTGCTCCAAGGCCATAGGGAAAAGAATTTCCTGCCTTCAGCTCACACCCTAGGCCGGCATGTGGGCCCCGGGGAGAATGATTGCCCCATCCGTGGTGCACAGCCCAGCAGGGTGGAGACAGACTGAGAAGTCATATGAGGTGAACAGAAACAGCACAGACAAGAATTGGGGACTTGAGAAGGGGCTGAGGAGGGGGTCTGAGACGGGGGTCTTGGTGGGAAAGGCTCCTTGGAATAGCTCCTCGATTAAAAAAGGGACTTCATGTCATAGAGTTTTTCTTCAGACCCCAAGGCAAGGAGAAAACAGGCTCAGGAAAGAAGTTTCCAAATAATAATAAGCCATGTGGTCTGAGTATCGAGGAAGGGGATAAGGAAAGAGCCCCATTAAAAAAATTTTTTTTTAATGTTTATTTTTGGGAGAGACAGAGACAGAGCGTAAGTTGGGTAGGGGCAGAGAGTGAGGGAGACACAGAGTCTGAAGCAGGCTCTGAGCTGTCGGCACAGAGCCCAACACAGAGCTCGAACCCATGAACCGCGAGATCATGACCCGAGCCGAAGTTGGACATTTCATCAACTGAGCCACCCCGGCGCCCCTAAAAGAGCCCCATTTTAGGGAGGAGAAAGCTGAGATGCATGGTTAAGTAAGCTGCCCAAGGTCACTCAGTTAGCAGGGACAGAGCAGAGATTCAACCCAGGGCCCCTCTCTGGATGTGAGCCTGTCACCCTTCGGCTATTCTACCTCCGCATAGGATCTTGGGTAGCAAAAGTGGAAACACGGCCAGCCTGTATTGTAGGAGGAGGCAGCTGCTGGCTGGTCTGGGTCCGACGGCAGTGGGGGGGGGGGAGGCTGGGGTAGGGCAGCGGCTGCCCCAGGTGAGAGGGAGCTGCCGGGCCTGAGGCAGACAAGGGACCATTGTCCTCCACACGCTGAGCCTGAGGGCTTCAGCCCTGCGCCCCTGAGCCTCACAGGGCTGCTCGGCCTGCAGGGAGGGGGCTGAAACACAAAGCGGGTGCCCCTGCTAGGAGAGCCCTGGATGCTCCCGGGTTTTCAGATGGAGGCAGGACCTCAGGAGGAATTCCTGACCCGTTTCACAGCAGGAAGAGCCACCCGTGTCCCAGCTCCAGGGAAAACTGTTTTGTGGCAGTCCCCCAGCCCAGAGTGGCAGGGGTCCTTCACGTATTAAAAATGAGGCCCAGGGGCACCCGGGTGGCTCAGTTGGTTGAGCGTCCGACTTCAGCTCAGGTCATGATCTCACGGTTTGTGGGTTCGAGCCCCGCGTTGGGCTCTGTGCTGACAGCTCAGAGCCTGGAGCCTGTTTCCGATTCTGTGTCTCCCTCTTTCTCTGACCCTCCCCTGCTCACACACACACACACACACACTCTCTCTCTCTCTCTCTCTCAGCAATGAATAAAAAACATTAAAAAAAAAAAAAAAAGAGGCCCAGAAGGCAGCGCTCTGCCCAGTAAAGCAGTTGTCAGGAAAGCTCACCACCCCCGAAGGGATAGAGGTTAGTCCCCAGAAGGCTGGTCCAGGCCTCGCACAGGTGTGTACCCTGAGGACACTGCCTCTGGAACAGGGCTTTGCCTCTGACCCCAGGCCCCCCAAGTGGCTTTGGGGGAGGCAGAACAAGGCTTCCCCTCCACGGTGGGCCCCATGTCCCCAGCGGGCAGCAGGCCCGAGACACCACCCTACTGTGTGTGCAGCACTGCCAGTCACGCCTCCCTCTGCCACCGTGGTCCCCACCACAGCCCAGGCTGCTCTCTGAGGCCCTGCACATCCCAACTAGAACCTTAAGTTAGGAATGGGACACAAAGGCGTCTCAAAGCAGCACCCGTGGGACCCTGCTGGTCCCGTGGGTCACGCCTGCCCGCCCACCCACATTTATTTTCCTGTTCCCTGTGCCCAGAACACTCCTCACCCCAGGAAACTCCACACCGGGCCCGACTCACTGTCTGTGCCTCGCTTCCCCCAGCACCGCCCCTGGCTGAGTTAATCTCCTCCTCCTTTGGGCCCCCACAGCACGGGGTTTGGGTTTCCAATGCAGCCTGATGATAGTCCACCTTGCGGGTCCCTTGACTACCAACTGGTGTTTCCCAGCGCTGTCAGGCTGTGAGCTCACGGAGGGCAGAGACCACAGTTCATTTATGTGTCCCCACAGCACCCCACTGCCATGGCTCCTTTCCTGAGGTGCCCAGCAAGTAAATTCATTCATTCAGAAAACATTTCCTGAGCACCACCTGGCTGAGTGACTAGATGCCGAGCTAGCCTGTGTGACAATGTGACACATCGAAGGGAATGAAGATATCCACTTGTCTCTCCCCTGCCTTTTTAAAAAATGGATTCTTCCCCCTTCCCACCTGGCTATTTGTCCACATTCTGTTGTGACCCTAGGACATCTCTGGTTGATTTAGATGTTGAGCTCTTTGAGTTCAGCGGCTCCACAGGTCACAGGCACTGACATGTGGAGTAGCCGCACAGTGCAGCAGGCTTTCAGGAGGGGGTGGGGCGGGGAGGGCGGGGCTTGCAGGGTCCCTGGGGCGAGCATGCACCCTGCCCAGGCTCCCTGTCTCTGGTTTCCTCTCATGAAACCGCGTTTAGTACCAGAAGGAGCCTGGAGTCTATCTACTCCAGGCCTTTCGTCTTGCAAAGGAGAACCTGAGGCTTGGTAATGTCAAGGACCACAAAACCAGTTGGGAAGGAGAGTTCAAGTTCAGTACCGCATTTCTGCGTCACACGCGCTCAGCTCTGGTAACAGGAGAGTGGGAAGGGTAGTCTGGGCTCTGCTACCGACTTTCTGTGCGGCTCCCCAGGCTGTCTGCCCCGTCCTGGGTCACTGCCTTCTTTGCCCCGAGGGAGGGAGACGGCCTAGGGGACCCTGACATCCCCTCGTGCTAAAGTCTACGGGATCCAGAGCTCTTCTCAGCAACCCAGCGATGCCGCAGGTGCACAGAGGGAAACGGGGAGCCGTGGAGGGGTCCCTGTCTGCAGCCACCCTGCCCTGCTCTTTGGGATGCCCAAGCAACTAGCCTTCGCCTTTGGCACCATGCTGAGCGACTTCTTTGGCAAACCTTCCCGAGGCCCCAACCACCACTCACAATATTTTACAGGTTTGACTCACGCCTTGTTTGGGTTTGGCGTCGCTGTCGACCCACCAGGCTGAGCACCCATGACAGGCAATAATTAGCACCCGCCTCGCAGGGGCGCCGACAAGAGCCCAGCTCCTCCGCGGCGACCGCGGAGCTAAAAAACCTGTACTTCTCGTAGCTCTTTTTCACCTCCTTCCCCGGGAGCTGCTTGCAGGGATGGGCTGCGGGCGCACCTGCTCCTTCCGCCACTGGAAGTTTCAGCTCAGCAGGTCCCTTTCAAAGAGCCCGCGGTGCTTCCGGATGTGTGGTTTCTAGGAGCATTCCTGTGGCGCTAATGATTTTTTTTTTTAAACCAACTTACACGCCATCACTCTCCCTCTCCCTGGTGGCTCTGAGATGCGCTTCTCTTTGCCTACATGACTGACAGCTGGCAAAAGTGCATTGAGAAATGGGGGTAGCAGGTCTCGGCCTGCTTGAAAGGGGAGAGCCTCGCCGCCTGTCCCAGGGATGTGAGGTCCCGCTGGGTTGAATACCCTGGCCATGACATTCCAAGCATGTTCTAGCCCCAGAACCACCCTGGAGGGGCGCGGCAGACGCCGAGAAAGGGGAGCCTTTGAATGCCATCCTTAAATACTAAGGTCTAGCTTCCAGAGGCTCCCAGGCCGGTGTCTCCGGCCGAACACTGACCTCTCAGGCTGGTCCAGGAGAAGCCTCCAGCAAGGACCCATAGAGTAGATGCCACGCACTCACCTGTCATGTTTCGCCTTCCTCTGCCTCTTCTCTGGGAATGGCACGGGTAGACGGACAGAAGGTGTGATGAGGCAAGCTGGGGATCTCCTTACCATTTATAGCAGCCTCTCCTACACACCCAATTAGAATTCTAATGAGGTGGGCGAGGCACCAGGTCATTCCTGTAGTGCGTGTAAACGTTTCACTTACGACATACTTGTCACCCAATGGAAGGTCACCCTGCTTGTGCAAGACCAGCTTAGGGAGAAGAAGGGAGATAAGAAATGCCAGGCATTCACTTTTATGAATTTTCCCCCCTAAGACAAACTTCCATGATTGTAGAGTTTAGGAAATGATGTCATGCTTTTCTCCAACTACTTTGTCCAGAGCTGGTGCTAAGAAGTCCTCTGGGAGGTCCAAGAAATGTTTCTACAGAACCCAGAAGCGGAAAACGGCTTGGTCCTTTTCAGCGCCGCAGTGCTGGTGTTTTTTCCTTGTACAAGAGGCAGGAGGCGCTCGTCTCAGCCTGCTCGTTCAGAGCTGCAGCAGAAAGAGCATTTGATTTGGAGCTCGAGGCGCTAGGTTCTGATGCCGGCAGGGCCCTGGGCCACCACGGAATCTCAAAACCCTGGAGGTCCCGTCTGTGGCCAGGGGTGATCACGTCCACCTTTCTCCGCTCCCTAAGTGGCAGAAACAATCACATGAGGTGGTGCAAGTGTGACGTGTATGGATGTGGACCCTAATGGATTCAATCCGATTGAAGGGGGGACTACTCTTTCTAAAGAGGCATCAGGGACAGCCGCAGAACGTGTAGTCGTGACCCGGTTTCATGCCACTTCTGCCGCATGCTGTCTGTAAGAGGGAGGGTCGGTCCTGTGCGGTCTGGGAGCAGGCTCTACAAAGACTTGAAAAAAGTGGATGGGGGGGCGGCGGGGGGGACTCAGACAGTTTACATTTTGCGTTTGCTTGTTTGTTGTTGACATATTTTTCAAACAACCCTCTTGTGGGTATTTACAAGTATCAAGATTTCCTGTGATCGACAGAGTTTAAAAACATCATAATGCTGGGACACCTTGGTGGCTCAGTGTGTTAAGCATCCGACTCGAGATTTTTTTTTGGCTCAGGTCATGATCGCACAGTTCATGGATTTGAGCTCTGTTGTCAGGCTCTGTGCTAAGAGCACAGAGCCTGCTTGGGATTCTCTCTCTCCCTCTCTCTGTCTGCCCTTCTCTGGTTTGCTCTCTCTCAAAAACAAATAAGTAGATAAACAAATAAACACTAAAAAAATAGATCATGATGCTTCAAGGATTCATGATGGAGATTACTTGAGATTGCTCAAGGCTTACCCCAGAGCTGGAGTGGGGATGAAGACCCAGCACCACAAAGACAAGATTCAATCTCTAAGGAGAAGGTGGGCAGGCTGGGCCTTGGGAAGGCTGAGGCTGAATAGACAGGTGGGTTGGAAAAGAGAAATCAGTGTCCTCTGTCCACCCTCTCAGCTCCCACGGCATTTTGCGCCATGCACATTTTGGGACCTTGTTTACCATATGTATCTCATTGCGCTGGATCACCTGTTTACATCAGCCCCCATCCCCATAGTGGGCTCTGGGAAACACAGGCTGCGTGTTACTCACATCTTCTCAGAGCCTAGCGTCGGGCTTGGCACACAGCAAGAGCACACATATTTTTTGAATAAGTGAATGAATTACTGGAAACATGGACATATTTAAAGTTTATTTATTTATTTTGAAGGGAGGAAGGGACAGAGAGAGAGGGAGACAGGATCCCAAGCAGGATCCATGCAGTCAGCACAGAGAGCGACTCAGGGCTCGAACTCACAGACTTCAAGATCACAACCTGAGCCGAAATCAAGAGTCAGATGCTTAACCGATGGAGCCACCCAGGGGTCCCAAACATGGAAATATTAACCACCGTCAAATGAGTGGGCAGGTCAAACGTTTCACATCTGTTGCCTTTTCTCATCTTTATAGCAATCCTATGACACAGGTACTTTCATTGCTGTCTCACAGAAGGAATTAACTGAAATCTCTGCAACCCGGAGATTCACACCCATGTGTGAACAACTCCAGAGCCTGTTTGAAGTCCGCTGGCCAAGTGAGGTGGCATTTCACCCGTGCCAGGCGGAATGCGACCCCTTCTTGGCTCTGGCAGATGACCAAGAAGAGAGCAGAGGGCAGAGGGGTGGAAGGCAAAGAGTGTTGGACCCCGATGAGGAGGTCTGAGTGGGGGTCTTGGCCCCCTCCCATGGCACTGGCTGTGATTCAAGACTCTAAGAACTTGGTGCATCATTTGGGCTGAATGGGTGTGAAAGTGCTTTGCACACTCTTGAGCGTGGCATCAAGAAGGTTTATTTGTTGTTATTACTGCCGTCGTTGTCGGCTGAGAGCCGAGAAGACTTGGGCCCCGGCCGTTCCTTTTCTACGGGTTCAGAACGAGTTGCCTTAGAATGTGCTACTTTGGCATGTGGATTATTTCAAGCCGAAAGAAATCAAGGCCCACAAGACTCAAAATGAAACTTTGACCTCCTCCCTCCCCAGTTGCCTATAATGGTTTTTTACAGAGGACCTTTTCCAGGAAGGGCTCCGTCACCATAGATAATGGCAGTGTGACATGAACTTGGCTTGCTGGATGGGGAGGGGCCCAGCAAGGCCTGTCTGATCCAAGTCCTCCCTTTGTCCCGTTGTTCCTGGGTGGGGAGGAAAGACCTGATGACCAAACCTTGACCCTTCCCATTCTTCCAATGGTGCACTGACTTCCTTCTGGAGCCCCAGACCCCTACCCTGTGCCCCTTAGTCCAGAATGACACAGAGACCTCATTTTGCCTGACTGTCTTTGGAATTTCTCCTGTTTATGTGGATTCCCCGCATGTATGTAATTTAAATTTGATCTTCTCTTGTTAATCTGTCTCGTATCAAGTGAATTCTTAGACCAGCCAGAAGAACCTTGAGGAGCGGAGGGAGATTTTTCCTCCTCCGTAGTTGGCATGGCTTCAGGGTAGCCTTTCCTGGCTGGAGACACCTTGGAGGAGAGAACCTAGGACAAACAGGCAGCAGAGGTAAGAATTCTTACCATGTCAGCAGCCTGAAATCTCTGTGTAAAGTGTCCGGTGGAGCAAAAGTGGGAAGTCCCTTTTCTTTCTCTCTAAATTGAGATGAACAGGAAAAAATATTTGTGGAAGTCATTCCTTGGGTTTAGTGACTGGTAAATTTGGTAGAGTGCTCTTGAGTTTTACTGATCCATTTCTTCTCAGAGATAGTCACCGTTTTTCTCTGTCTTCTGTGTCATTCGTCATAAGAAGGAAAAATCATAGGATATGAACACAGGCATAGGTCCTAGAAGCCTGCTGTTGGGGCTGGCCTCACAGACACATGAGTTCTCCCAGACCAGGGTCTGTTTAGACAAGTTTGCTGTGGATCACTATGCACATGAGGTAAAGGCTGTTGCTGAGGCGCGCCTGTGTGGCTCAGTCAGTTAAGCATCCGACTTTGGCTCAGATCATGATCTCACAGTTTGTGGGTTCAAGCCCCGTGTCCGGCTCTGTGCTGACAGCTTGGAGCCTAGAGTCTCCTTCGGATTCTGTCTCTCTCTCTCTTTCTCTCTGCCCTTCTCCGCTCACAGTCTGTCTCTGTCTCAAAAAAATTTTTAATTAAAAAAATTAACACTTAAAAAAAAGCTATTACTAAGGGACATCTTGGAAGCCAACGTCACAATATTGGTGGGCTTGGGTGGGGCACTTGAGCACTGGCCCCTAACCCAGAGACTCCCGGGTTAGAATAAATTGACCACAGAGTAGGTTAGGTGAACTCTAGAGTCCCTGCCAACCTCAAGGAAGCTTCTGTGCAGCCAGGTTCTCCGTAAGACAACACACCAGCCCCACCCCACAGCACACGCCTCCATGGGATCAGGAAGTATCATTGTGGCTCAAGGCTTAGCTAAAGCTGTTAATGTGCATATAAAAAAAAAAGCAACAACCTGGGTGAGGTGTGTCTTTCATCTTGTTCTGTGTTCTCAGAGCTTAACTTTACGACCAGTACCCAGTGAAGGTACTCTCCCTGTCTTCTGGGGGTGTGTCTACCAGAAGTGGAAGAGACTGGGATGCCATGACCTCTTCTTTGCCCGACTGAGCCGGCTCCCAGAGGGTTGGGGGGGGGGCGGGGGGAAGGTTTAAAGCAACAGTTCTTGCTCTTGTAAAACTCTTCGGATTTGAATCTTTGGAAAGGCAAGAACGTGACTCTGAGAGAATGCAAAGCCTATTTGCCTCCAGAAGATTGAACATGGTGTAAGAATCTAGAACATTAAAGGAAACCCTGAGAGGCAGTTAAGAAAAAAGAAAGCTTGGGGCCCCTGGGTGGCTCAGTCGGTGAAGCACCCGACTCTTCATTTCGGCTCAGGTCATAATCTCACAGGTTCGTGAGATGGAGCCCCCCTTCAGGCTCTGTGCTGACAGCACGGAGCCTACTTGGGATTTGATCTCTCCCTCTCTCTCTGTCCCTCCCCTCACACCCGCTTTCAAAGTAAATAAATAGACATTAAAAAAAAAAAAAAAGGAAAGGACATTTAAGAAACAATTTTCCTAAACCCCAACAGAAGGTTCATTTATTCATTTATCTCCTCCTAAGGGACAATTCTCCCTCAAATGACAAGTCAGCTGAACCTAGCTGCACCCGAGAGGCCACCATTAAACTTAAAATAGAGGATGGAGAACTGGATTTCTTAAATGATGCTGTGTTCGTTCTTTTCTTTCTTTCTTTCTTTCTTTCTTTCTTTCTTTCTTTCTTTCTTTCTTTCTTTCTTTCTTTCTTTCTTCCTTCCTTCCTTCCTTCCTTCCTTCCTTCCTTCCTTCCTTCCTTCCTTCTTTTTCTTTCTTTCTTCTTTCTTTCCTTCCTTCTTTCTTTCCTTCCTTCCTTCCTTCCTTCCTTCCTTCCTTCCTTCCTTCCTTCCTTCCTTCCTTCCTTCTTTCTTCTTTCTTTCCTTCTTCCCTTCCTTCCTTCCTTCCTTCCTTCCTTC